TTCTCCCCTTCCTTTCTCCCTCCCTCCCTTCCTTCCTCCCTCCCTCCCTCCCTGCCCCCGTCTCACCTTGTGCCTCCCCTCGCTTGCCTCTCTGCTCTTTCCCCGGTACGCAGATTCGCTGAGCTCGATGGGTTCCTTCCGAGCTTCTTCCAGCCCCAATCTGGCCACCCTTCAGGCGGATTTCCTCGGCGAGGCCCAGCGCGGGAGCTATATCTCCTCCGAGTCCGACTCTGACATGGATCAACAGATTCCCCCTCCAGCCACGATGACCGCCGCCGGCAGGGCTCCTTATTTGGCTGCCAGCGGCTCTCCGGCCGTCGTGCCCGGATCGCTGTCCGGATCGCCATCGATTTCGGGCGCCTCGACACCAAGCGGCTCGCCGCGCCCCCCACGCGCAGCCACCGAGCCTCCGCCGGCCACCGATTCCACCAGCACCGATGATATTTCTGCCCCCTCGCCAGGGTCAATCCCACCGACGATGGCCTCCTCCGCGGCTTCCTCGGCCGCCGGATCCCCCTCGCCCACCGGCCTGCCCCACTCATCGCCCCTGAATGCCAGCCACCCGCTGGCCACTCGCATCCAGGGCAACCACTCGCCCACCTCGCCGTATCAGCCCCCTCGCCCTGTGGTCCAGCGTGCGTCAAGCTCCTTCTCCGGGCCCTCGACCACCGGGGTCACCGCGGTTCCGGGTGCCCCGCCCGGCATCAACTCCCGCCGGGCCTCCTTCCATGATATTCGTGACGGGGTACGACCGCCGACACCCGGGCCCGGACTGCCTCTCTCTCTCTCTCTCTGTCCTTCTCTCTTTCCTCCTTCATGTGCATGTGTATGTCCGGTCTGACACCTGAGAGCTCCGCCATGTTCCCGTGCCCCGCCCGCTCAACTCCATCTGGCAGCAGCCAAAGAGCCTTCACCGGCGGAAGAGCATTTTTAGCATGATCAAGACGGCTCTCATTTCGCCCTCGTCGCCCTCCACGGTTGACGGCCCCATGGGGCCGGGCATTCACGGTCGTTCTAGCCTTGGGGTTTCCCCCTCACGCGGGGACAGCCTCGACGGTGCGCCCTGGCAGCGCTTACAGGCGCCTCCTGGACTTCTTCCCCCCCCCCCCCCCCCCTCCCCCTTGCCCCGTCTCTAACCTCCGCGCCATCCGTCGCACAGACGACTTCTCCCACCTGGCGATCCCGAGTGACAAGAAGAAGGGCCGCAAGCGCGGCGACCGGCGCAAGAGCTCCGCCAATGAGATCGGTGCGCATGCCCTCACCCCTGAGCATCGTGTTGTCGTTATTGCTCACCATCGCCTTTCCTTTCCCCCTGTCTCGCCTCGCCTCGCCTCGCCTCTCTCTTCCCCACACACACACACACACATACACGCACATATGCGCATGCATGCTCACGCTTCACGCACCGACACCCCTTCGCGCAGACACTTCCGAGACGACGACATACACCGACTTCGAGTTCGATGCCGAGGTCTTGGAGGACACTCGTGGGCACTGGCAACCGCCGGACTCGTGGCGTGTCGGTCCTGGCGCGCCGTTGGCCTTCTCGACGCCGAGCTCCGACGCGTCGTCCGGCACCGCCCCGGATAATGCGGTTGCTGCCCTCCTGAGCACCAAGCTCGAGCTGCCGGATCTGCAGCCCGAGTTCACTGAAGCCACCACTGACGAGGATGACTCTTTCTACGTGCGCCCACGCTTCTGTCCGGGCGTCGCTCCCTCCTTGCCCGGCGCCCCCCTTTCCGGGATGCCCCTCTGTCTGGCACCTCATCTGACGCTTGCTTTGGCTCTTCGCTCCCTCTCGCTTGGCGCGCCTCCCGCAGCTTCTTCGGCTCTACATCACCCAAAATGACTACCGTGCCATTAAGATCCCCTACGGGTCAACCGTGCAGACCATGATGGCCTCCCTGCAGAAGAAGAATCCCGCCCTCAAGAATCAGACCTTGTACCTTGTGCACCAGGGCCGAAGTGCGTCCCCGCCCCTTCCCTTGCGCCCGTCTCATTGAGCTTTCCCACCCTGCCGCCTGCTGACCCTCCACTGTGCCTCTCTCTCTCTCTCTCTCTCTCTCTCTCTCTCTCTCTCTC